GGTCCTCTGCAAGAGCAGGAAGTGCCCCTAACCACTGTGAAATCTCTCCAGCCCCTAAACATAATTTTTTATTTATCATTATTATAAATTATTTGTGGTACTGAGTATTGAACCTAGGATTTCATGTATAGTAGGCAAGTGGTCTATCAGCCCCGAAAAACTTGATACACTTATAAAGTGTTAGGAATCATCAGGCTTGTTGGCCCCTGTTTCTAAAGGAAGTGGCCTGTCAGAATGGTTTTTCTTACTGAGATAAGGTTGCATTTGCATTTGGTTTTATTCAGGTAGCAGTGCTGACGCCAGCAAACCAGAGCTTTCCAACTGTTAAATAGACGTTCAGATCATCTAGAGGAAGACATGAGGGTTTTACTTGAATTCTCTCCATTGTAGTGCCCAGGGACTTTTGAAAATTGTTTATATTAGTAGAGTACCTAGTTTTGAAACATTTCTCATTTATGGCTGACGAGATGGCTGAGCAGGTGAAGCTGCTTGTCACCGAGCCCGAAGATCTGAATCTAATCCTGGGACTGAGTATGCACGTATGTACACACATGCACACAAATCAACTAATAAGTACATAATAAAGTAGTCAAAAGAAAATTATCTTTTAAATGAATACTTTTGGTAGCCCTTGCTTTCTAGAGTTGTTTGAAACAGAAAGGACCGCAGAGCTGGCCGCTCTGTCCTCCTCATTATGGCCAACTGAGCACTGTGGAGATCCTACCTTCCCCTGCTGAGAACCACTGCCAGCTCTGCCCACTGCTGGTCCATCCTGGTGTCGTACTGCGTTGTCACAGCAGTGCTCCTGGAATCCATCAGAAGCACTCTGAATTTAAACCCATTTTTTACTTTTTCAGACCCGGCCATTCCTAGTGTGGAAGACATACTTAGTGCCCTCCCCCCCCCACTGCCGTCACTGTCACTCTTTACCTGGAGCTCCGCTGTGTCTCACATGGACGGTGACTCCAGCTTTCAGAGCTCCCTGGCTCCTCTTGTCTGTCAGCTCCAGAGCACTAACAACTTCATAGTCCTAACTGCATGCTGTGTAACGCTCCAGAGAGCTGCTAGGATGCTTTATGGGCTAGTGTCTGAGTTTGTCACTCTCTTGTCTGGACCTGTCCAGTAAAAGGATGTCCTGCCGAGAATACCTTGAATCCTAAAATAGTGGTGGCTTAAGTGAAAAGAAGTTTGTTTCTCTCATATGTTGAAGAGGACCAGATGTTGGCAGGCCACAGCTCGCAGGGTGGCCTCACAGGCTTCCTCCTGTCCTGTCCCTCTGCAGGTCATGTGGCCTCCACAACCAAGGTGAGTGTTCAAGGTGCAGCTGATACCTTGGCATTCCTGCCAGCAGGTGTGAGGGAAGAGGAAGCTGGCCCTCTGAACCTTAGGGATACCTCCTGAAAGATACTAGTAATACTTTCCCCTCCATGTTACTGGTTAGAGCTATGGCTAAAACTGGCAGCCACAAAAAACCCTAAAGAACATAGTCTTTTAACCAAGCTGCCCTGCTAAAACGTGGGCCTCTTATTAGGAAAGAAGAGACTAGAATTGGGCAGTAACTAGAGTTTCTTTCTGTCATGGGACTTGTCCTACCTCTCTCCCAGCCACGTTCTTCCCGCCGCCGCTGTAGCAGCCCTTCCCCACCCAGCACTGTATCTCCAGCCTGGTGGTAGTGACTGTGGTGGTCTTACTATACCTTTTCTGCTTCCTCAGCAGTGACAGTGCATTGGCCCTTCCTTGTGCCCAGCAGTGTGGAGCAGTGGGAAAGCTTGCTGGATTTCATAGTTGAATTGATTTGTGTTGAACCTCTGCTCTACACGGTGGACTGAAAGTTTAAGTACAGAAGTGCACAGCACGCACACTGTATTTAAAGCCATAGTCCAGCTGTCCCTTTTAAATTGTAGACTTTTGTGTTGAGCTGATTATTCAGCATCATCCCTTGAGGGTCTCACAGGTTGACCAGCATGTATGGCCAGCTCCAAGTTAGAACTCTAGATTTCACTTCCTCCTCTAAACTTTAAGTGATGCCTCCACCAGTGTGGCTGCCAAAGTCATAAACCAGAAAAGAATCCTCCACTGCTCGTATGCAGTGACCCTAAAGTCAGTCAGTTCAACTGCAAATATAATTTAATTCTCTAGTGCCGGTATCACGCTCTGTCCTCATGCCCAGACTCTGGCACACCTCCTCACTGGTCTCTCTCCCACTCAGTCTGCTCTGATATTGCCCTGAGCTGCGCCGCCCCTGCAGCCAGACTCCTGTTGTTTCTGGGCTTACATTCTGGACTCAGGTGACCTGCAAGGCCACCTGACTTCACTCCTGTTGTTCCTCCTTCTCACCTGTGCAGAACCCAGTCTTGCCTCTGCTTTCTGGTCTCCTTTCTGGTCCCACCCCTTCTTCACTCGTCATTCCTCATCCCCTTGCTGTTCCTGCCCAGGCCATCCTTGTGTCTGGTGTAAATGTCATTTCCTCACAAGCCTTTCCTTAACCTCTAAGCCCTGTGTCCCTCCCTTTCCTCTTCAGGGCTGTTGTTCTTAGAATTTGTTACAATTTATCATTTATATTTACAGAGTGATTACTTACCAACATCATTTCTACATTCTTGTATATAAGTTTCCTGAGGTCTTAGAACATATTTCTCTTACTAAAAATCAAATTCTCAATACCTAGTACTCAATAAATATATGTCTCATAACTGAATTAATAAATGACTTCAGATTAAGCAGTGCATTATCTTTCATTGAACTGGCAACTTTACTATTCAGTGCAACAAGACTTAGTTGCTGGCAGTGTGAAGACAAATCACTTTTGCAGCTTAGTGTTGTGTTTGGTTACTTTCACTGACTTACATCTCTGATTCTCACCTGCAACACTATAAACGTCCATGTCAATTATTTGAATGTAACTTAGAATAAAGCCTTATTTTCCCCAGGATGACCTTTTGAATAGAGAACCTGGAAAGGTCTTATTTGGGTATGATGGAAGGAAGTCACGCAGGGCCCACTTCATCTCTAGGCCTTCGTTTTAGATGTCACCTGGTGTAACCTCTGGAATGGCAGACTCGCGGTTGTCAGCATGGACCTGAGGTGACAGTCACCTTAAGATGGGGCTGTTTGGGTCATCCCAGAAAGAGGCTTGCTCTGGGCTTGGGCTGTCGTGGAAAAGTGGTTTCCACTGAGTATGGTTACACATGTCTTCAATCCCAGCCCTCAGGAGGCTGAACAAGAAGATTACAAGTTCAAGGTTAGCCTCAGCTACTTACTAAGAAAGCAGACAAAACAATGAAAGAGAAGAAGACCAGTTTCCTCACCACTCTGACTTGCTTGCTAAATTTTTAAGTCCAAAGCCTTAAGTATCAGATATCCAAGTAGCATGCAATTATAATTTTATCTTCCTGTTTTTCAATGAATTGTGTTAATCTGTAGAAAACACTGACAACGTATGTCATATAACAAAAGAAATCAGCACTGTGTGTGTGTGTGTGTGTGTGTGTGTGTGTGTGTGTGTGTGTGTGTGTGTTTTCTTTCAGATTATTTTTTTAAAAAATGTTTTGGAAGCATCTGGTGATTTTATTCTTTTTATTCATTCATTCATTCATTCATTCATTCATTCATTCATTCATTTTCATCCTGAGTTATTGTTCTAAGATGAAAGATGGTATTAGGTGGTTACTTTTACCGATAGAGAGGTTGTTTACCACCAGAAAGTTTGTTTTTCCTTTTTGGAAAACTGAAAATTCTGCTTTCAGTAGCACTATGGTGGGAGGATTTCAGCAAAGATAGAAACACATAGTTTATCATTCTGGATTTGAGACCACAGCAGTGGTTCCAGAGCTGCCACAAGAGGCAGCCAATCATGAAAAAGATTATGTTTTTATTTGGGCCTTGGAAATGTCTAAATGACAAGTACAGTCTTTCTTAGCTCCCTGTGAATTGATAATAGACCCCTGTTAATTGTTAATTAGAAACTCTGATATAGCTGGAGAAGAATGTTTTACAGGAAAAATCTAATGTAGCAAGTGAAAATACAAAACAAAACAAACCTTTAAATTTTCAGAAAGTCTAATTTGCTGCTTGTGCTCAGGGGTGTTTTTAATGTAATGCTTCTGGTACAAAGCCTGGCACTGCTTCCTTGGGGAGATGTGGTTTCAGTTTCTTGGGTTAATGTGTATTATAACATTGGAGACTAGAAAATTAGCATTAGAGGACTCTAAGTACTTTATTCTTTATATAATACCACTAAGAATTTTGTTTCTTTCAGATGGTATTGAGAGTTGAATAGTTGAATCTAGGACCTTATGCATCTTATCTAGTGTTCATTTACAGCATCAACTCTTGCTAACAAGGATTGAAAGCTAGGAAAATCAGAGTCTGGCTGGGCATTCATTCGTTCAATAAATGCAACTTATTTTGCATTCTTTTGTTCATTATGGCTGGTACCAAAGTACTTTTCAAAGTACTTTGTTAATGTTCAGGGACCCTGTGATGCAGCTTCCATGTGGTTGCTGTCTATGATGGGGTTGGACTTTACAGTGATGTGATTGTTTTGGATCACCCATGTTCTTGTGAGCAACTCCTCACCTGCACTCTGCAAGAATGCCCAATTAAAGAAAGAAGTAGATGTTTATGTTCATTTTTATTTCACTTATTTTATCAGATGTACATGATAAATTTGCCAAACACTTTTATTCTTTGTGTGCTGAAGTCATATATAATATCTAGACCTTTCATTTTAATGTTCTCTACATGTATAACGTTTGCTATGTTAGTAATGTTAAGTAGATCAGATGTACCCTGCTAAGACCAGGTGTTCAGTGTAGCACAGATACAACATGACTGGCCTTATCCAGTCGCCCAACTGTTGTGTACACTCTCTTTTGTGAAGGAGCAGCGTGGAGTACTTGGCCTCCATGAAGCTTTCTAATATGAATTTAAAGATCTCTGTGTACCCAGTGGACATGCAGCTAATTGGTTCCTCTTCTCTTTTTTTCTCTCTGACTCAGGAAAAGAAGATTCTAGTGCTCCAGTTACAAAAGATGAGAACACCACCCCCATGTCACAGGACACAAGAGCCTTACCCGAGAAGTCACTGCAGAAATCAGCAAAGGTTGTTTCCTACAGATTTTTTTTCTGCTTGTCGTTTGGGATGCTCATCGTAACTGTAGTTGCTCAGTTAATCAGAAAGTCAGTAAAAGCCATAAATTAGGGAAAGTGACTAGGGCTTTTGTAACTTTAAGCATACGAGTGTGTATTTCTTCGATTGACTTAGGATGCTAGTGGCGTCTTCTGGTGTAGGACAAACGTAGTTGACTCTTGCTCTTGGTGGCACACATGCTGCAAGGACAGGAGATAAAGTAAAACCATGGTGAGAGACTTCCCAGACCAGAGACACCTGTCAGTGTTGACTCTGGGACTCACATGGCAACTCCAACCATCTTGCTGAGAGGAACTCTCCTGCCTGCTGACATGAGGACTTTGGAAGTCTGTAGACTGTGTGTATCCTGCTGTTGCTCATGGAATTGCCCAGAGCTTCTCACAGTTCTTTGGTTGCCTCCTGTGTGTTTGGCATGAGGGATGTCTAAATGATCACTCCATATCAGCCATGTATTGTATGTAACACATATATACTCATGTGTATATGCACACATATTTGTACATTATACATAATATACATGTGACAGAGCTATACCTGTCTTGTCTCACCTGTGCAGTATTTAAATTTTTCACTTCATGGTTTATATTAAACAAAGAATACTTACAGAAAATTTGGACTTTTTGCTTTTGTCAAATCAGTCTCTGACTGCACTGAGCCATGGTCCTCTGTGCTGTAGTTGAAGTGGTGGAGACAGCCTCTGTCCATGTAACGTGTGTCTGTAATTCCTGCCGCCCTTCAGCCGTGTTTCTCTTCCCTTCCTTTCTCGGGTAATAGTCATAATGAATTGGATCTAAAGTTATAAGGAAAAATAGCACTTACACGCAAAACTATGTGGAGTTAGAGTCTTCCCCGGGCAGCTGACACTGTACGCATAATGGGCAATGCTCAGGTGCTCTCCATTCTTTAGAAATGTTATCACAATTTGTTGTGCCCAGATCGCGACCCCCAGAGAGACCACCAAGGACGAGCAAGCCGGAATGCAAAAGCAAGGTTTAATCGTGGATATCCAAAAGCAATACAAGCCTAGGCAGGGACTTC